TCTGTTACCTGACTTCTTGCCCTACTCCAGCTCTGGGAACCACGGGATCACAATTCAGCTCCTGTACTGGTTTTTCTCTTTTTTTTTTTTTTCTCTTGACCTTCCTTTGGAAACAGACGCTGCTGAGAACGTCAGCCTCATCCTCTGGCTGCCCTGGGTCTGCAGCAGGAGCCGACCCCCTTCCACCTCTGCCCTGCGGAGCACTCCATCTTGACCAGGGAGAATAAGGCAGGGGCAAGGGTGAGAGTGCAGGAACAGACAGGACAATTGGAGGGGGATGTAGGGACAGAAAGGTCTATGCTCAGCAGAGCACCCTCTTAACACCTGAAACAGATCCTTTGGGTGTTAAGTCAGGAGGCCTTTGCTGCTGAGACACATGAAAGACAAAGGCACGCACTAAAATACACTCTTTGCTGCCCCAGAGCTGGCCCTACCTAGGGACCGCCAGCCTGCCGCTGCGGGGGTCTGCCGGGGGACCTCGGCGAGGTCCCAGCGCTGCCCATCCTGCAGCCAAGAGGAGCCCATGCCGTGGTCCTCTGGAACAGGAGGGATTCAGTGAGGGCTGTTTTAAAAATAATAGCTTGAATGACAGATGGAAAAGAAGAGCACCGAGCAGCTTTTGTTTGCCAACCCACTCCTGCAACCCGACAAGGTGCCAGCGCTCGTTCCCCCCTGCGCTGTCCAGGCTGCAGACCCCTCTGTGCCACCCCGGTGGCTCCACAGCCAGCGTCCGCCCTCACACCCACATCTTTCGCCCATGGCCACCCAAACCCTAACTCATCTTTTCCCGTGTTCTCATGAATTGCTTCCCAATGCCTGAAGTCTCTTAACCTTCGATCAGACACCTCCGTATATGCTTCTCTTTCTATTTAATGGTGTTGGTGCCTTTTATCATCACAAAAGACACCGATAAAATTACCTTTACCCTTCCTCACATGGTAATCCCAAGCAAACACAGCGTAAAGGTTATGTGCTCACCTTAACACTCATTGCTTTACAGCAGCTGTATAAAATGAGTTGTGAAATTTATCTTCTAGCTTTCCTTAAATGTTTGCAAATACTTTAATCACAAACATGTAATTGAAAGCAAATTTTTTTTCACTGACCCAAAAGGGATCCTTATCAGAACTGAGACTGCAGGAATTTCCGGCTTTCTGGTTTGTTTTTCCCTACTCAGCCTGCCCAAGGTCCAATGTGGAGGTTGTGATTTGCAATGTTTTAATCCCAGGAGCGCCTGACGGAATACACTGCACCACAGGCCACCTCCGGCCCTGCCAGCCAGCTCCCAGGCACCCACCTCGGCCAGGCAGGCGGCAGCTACTGGCCTGAGCCAGAGCGGGGCAAGAAATTCTTCATTTAAAAAGCTCCAAAAAAAAAAAGAAAAAAATCAATTTGTAACAATAAGACCCATACATTCTGCTGCATTCACATAAGCTGTAACTCAGGAAAGCACTTAGGCACGTATTTAAGATAAAGGATGTCCAGTTTTGCTCTGGGATTTTTGGAACAAGACCTCCGTGACCGACCACACATAGCGTAAAGAAACATCTTCACTGCCAAATCTGAAGTCCACTTGAGAATCACCATGGTACATTTTATTGCTGAAGTATGTCAGACGAAGATCACGACAAATACTAAATATCTATCCACAAGCATAACAGCTCATGATACCTGTGGCTAACGCAGGCCCATGCCGATGGTTACAAGATGTATTTCACAGGCACTTCAGAGACACAACAGATACCAGACCAACGGCCACCAGTGAAGACTCTTGCCACCACCTCTCCATACGCTCCGTTTTCCAATGCGCTGCCCGTGCTACGGCACGTGGATCTGCTCCTCCACCCACAGATCCCACCCACCAAGGCATGCCCCTTGCAGAACCACCACAGAAAACATTTTCCAGTAATGCTCATTTGTCTCATTTGCTCTAATAATTAGTCTTTTCTACAGCAATTCACAAAGACTCCTTACCAACTCGAAGTATTTTATTTTCCAATTTTAAAATTGCTTGAACTCACAGCCAACAGTTCCCAATGCCATTATGAATTCAGTACTGCTCTGCCAGTCTGCTTATGTACCCATGGCCCAGACTACGCTGACGTAAAGCAACATTAGGAATATGCCAATAGCCATAATGTTAAAATACATTAAGATTTCTCATGTTAACAATGTTAGCTGATCCCAGTTAATTCTACTGACATGCTCTAATGCAGAGTGAAAATTTTCACATGAATTATTTTTCAAGAGAAAAGTCCATATTCTCTTACATTAATGCAGTTCAAGAATCTGTATTAATTTCCCAGACTGCCTGCTTAGAAGAAAGATTAAATATAAAAATTGTTTCAACCACTTCAAAACAAAAATAATTCAATTTTTCTACTATAATGGAATCCTTCAATTGTTAAAGAAAATACTATTTCTGATCTCAATCAGAAAGAAGAAAACATTTTGTTTAATTCAGCCCCCTTTTTTACTTCCAGATGGTTCACTAGCTGTTTTCTGAATATTTCATTTTCCACCAACTCCCAAACTGAAAGCATTTTTTAATATTCTATATAAACTAAAAATAAAGCCCCATGATCTGTTGGAGTGAGTCCAGAGGAGGCCACGAAGATGATCTGAGGGCTGGAGCACCTCTGCTGTGAGGACAGGCTGAGAGAGTTGGGGTTGTTCAGCCTGGAGAAGAGAAGGCTCCGGGCAGACCTTAGAGCAGCCTGCCAGTACCTAAAGGGGGGCTACAAGAGAGCTGGGGAGGGACTTTTGACAAGGGCATGGAGTGACAGGACAAGGGGCAATGGCTTTAGACTGGAAGAGGGAAGATTGAGATGAGATGTAAGGAAGAAATTCTTCCTGGTGAGGGTGGTGAGGCAGTGGCAGAGGGTGCCCAGAGAAACTGTGGGTAAGTGTTCAAGGCCAGGCTGGATGGGGCTTGGAGCAACCTGGTCTGGTGGGAGGTGTCCCTGCCTGTGGCAGGGGGCTTGGAACTGGATGGGCTTTAAGGTCCCTTCCAACCAAACCATTCTGTGATGCTATGATTTTATCTGCCTAGCTTTGCTCTGATGGTAGGTTATATTTTATACATACAGGTAAAAGATGTTATTAAGATCTTTTCCAACATGAAACATTTTCCCAGCCTACATATGGAATAAGCATTCTTGCTGCGTGGATTGCATATTTACTTGTAGGGATCAGACTAGATGAGGATAGACAAGTGCTAGTATATGGCGCTGCACCTCCCGTCCCAACAAACAGAATATCCAAATGCTTACTAAACACAGCTTCATTTTATAAATTGTAGTGAGCTAAACCAAAGCAATTAGGTTCATCCAAAAACATCAGGATTATTTGCAAAAGTAAAAAAAGGTTTACGCAAAACAGAGCAATGGATGTGAATTTAAAAGATCCTCTAATACTTGAAGTCCTACTGGATGCCTGGGCAGGTCAGATTTGGGGTGAAGAAGCTGGAGAGGTAAAAATATTTTGAAAGAGATTCACAGAATCATTTAGGTTGGAAAAGACCTTTAAGATCATCGAGTCCAACCATTAACCTAGCACTGCCAAGTCCACCCCTAAACTACATCCCTAAGCACCACACCTACACGTCTTTTAAATACCTCCAGGGATGGGGACTCCACCACTTCCCTGGGCAGCCTCTTCCAGTGCTTGACAACCCTTTTGGTGAATAAATTCTTCCTAATATCCAATCTAAACCTCCCCGTGCACAACTTGAGGCCATTTCCTCTTCTCTTATCACTTGTTACTTGGGAGAAGAGACCGACCCCCACCTGGCTACCCCCTCCTTTCAGGTCGTTGTAGGGAGCGATCAGGTCTCCCCTCAGCCTCCTCTTCTCCAGACCAAACCCCCCCAGCTCCCTCAGCCGCTCCCCATCAGACTTGTGCTCCAGACCCTTCACCACCTTCGTTGCCCTTCTCTGGACTCGCTCCAGCACCTCAAGGTCTGTCTGGTGATGAGGGGCCCAGAACTGAACACAGCACTCGAGGTGCGGCCTCACCAGTGCCCAGTACAGGGGGACGATCACTGCCCTGGTCCTGCTGGCCACACCATTGCTGATACAAGCCAGGATGGCATTGGCCTTCTTGGCCACCTGGGCACACTGCTGACTCATGTTCAGTTGGCTGTCGACCAACAGCCTCAATTCCTTTCAATCACTCTCATCTCCACAGACATCATCAGCGCAAGGATCTCGAGTATCATTATTCCCATTTTCCAAGCAGAGAACCAAAGCACCGCATAACATCACCGACCGGTGGCAGAAGACATCTCAGGCTCTAACCCCTACTTTCTTTTCCCAGGCCAGTGACAGAGAATCTGTTGTCCCTAGGAAGAACATCTGCCAGTGGCATTATTTACAAACAGTAACCGTGTATTTATCAAGTCAGGAGGTGAATTGCCAAGGAATGTAAAAAGTCTTGCCCTAAAGAGATCATGATTTCTGTAGGTGGAGAGCCCAGACAGGTTTGCGGATTTCAGAACAAGCACATGCAAACGTATTTACTGATCAGAATCAGCTATGGTGAGCTCATGGCACTGAGGGAGACCTGATAAATTTTAATGGCGGAAGGATGGGAAAATGCTGTGTTGGGCACATGACAGCAATCCAGGGTGAAGTAAGATTTTAAAAAGTCGAAAGAGATGAACAAGAATGACTCTGGATTAACTCTAAATCATAGCCATTCTAATAGCTAAAAAATAAAAATAAAATAAAATCACATTGTGAGGCAGTTTGGCCACCATCAAGTGCTCAATAACAGCATAAAACTACATGGTATGAAATCTTACTAAATTACATGGTATGAAAACACTCACCATGTATATATCACCGGAGAATAAACAAGGGTATCTTTCCGCTAGTGGCCCTTTCAGTACTGGAGCTCACAGGCATTTATGTCAGAAGTTGTTCCGACAGGGATGCAAGAATATAGAAGCTCCTGAAGCTGAGCTTCCAGCTCCTGCCGAACAGGAGCACAGAGGGCTTCTAAACCCTCGGCAATCCATCTGCACTGACCGCACCATTCAGGATCATCTTTGGAGCCTGCTTGCTGTCCCCAGCTTCTTCAGCCGTACACTCCAGAGGCTCTAAGTCATCGTATCTTCTCCGATAGACCATCCTTGAGATTAGGGTTATCAGAAACATCTCCATGATGAGGAGCTGCTGGGTCATATCTGCCAAAAAAAAGAGAGGCAAAGAAAAGCCCCAAAAAGGGGGAAATGACTATCAGACACAAAAAATACCTGGCTTATTGGTTTTCAGCTGTGCAAAAGGAACAAACTTTACCATCCTGTCCCCGTAACAGAGTGTCTCCCACACTCCGCAATAAAATCAGTTACAGAATGACAGTATTGCCCATCAATAAACATGCAGTAAGTTATGCATCCAAAACGCAAGAGATTTAACAGTAATTACCCATGTTGATTTCTTCTCTCATTTCTGATTCCAACTCATTATCGAGTTTTTCTCTGTGACTACAACAGCTGTAAAACTTTTGTTATCGCTTTTTAAGTCAAAGCTGAGATTCTCCAAAAGCTGCATGATCCCATGAAATTAGTACTTTGGGAAAACACCAGATATCACAGTTAGCAACCCTGAACTGGCACCTTTATAAGTAAATGAAGAACATCCTTCCCAAAAGAACTTACATGCTCCTCTTGCTGAAGAGGAGAGCGGTGGAGCACAGGGAATGATTCCTTGCATGGCCAAGATGTTGATAATAGCTGCCTGCAAGTGGTTCAGAATGAGAATAAACTGCAGCAGAAAGAGAAAAACAGACGCCTTAGCTACCAGAAAAAGGTTTGTAGTTCACACAACAATTCTGCTTTCATAACAGACCCTCTTTTGCCTCATTCCTCCTTTCTTGCCCTCCCTCTCCTTGCATCTACCAGCAGGCTGCCTGCCATTCTGCAGAATTCATCTTTAGGTCAGGATGATATTGCTCTGAATGTCAGTATTAAATTAAACCTCTATTTGAAAAGTGTTTCTTCTCAGCCCTTCATGTGGGAGGTGCAATACACACCGACCTCCCAGCTGGGATTTTAAACAATACTGAGCTCTGCATAATAGGTAACAGTGCTTTAAAAACTTCCTGTTAACCTGACCTATGAGCTTATGTTCTCCCTTAGTGGAAGAAGGACTCAAAAGAACGTTTTTTCTGTTGTCTCCTCTTTTTGCCACAGCAGGGAGATGTGGTGCTCCCCAAGACTGGCTTCTTTGCCAGAAGGGATGAAGGGCTCTCTGTGCAGCCTGGGTTCAGCCACAACCACGTACGCACTCTGTTACCTGCTCTTCGCTGAGCTAGGCCTTCGCTGCCCTGGAGATACCAAAGTGTCTCTCTAGCTGATGGCATAACTGCCCGAGTATAAACCCTCGCATTAACAGTTTGCCATCCTAAACCTGGGTTCACCCTAATGCAGCTCTGCAGGTGTGACTATCCTGTTTACGGCATTTATAAATGCTTAATAATTTCCTTAACGGAGACCTTAGCGCGCCAGCCTTTCTATGCGTCCTGTCCCAGAAGGATGCATAACCAAGGATTCTCCTGTACTCTCTTCAGGGTGATGTGAAAGAGGGTGGCCTGTCCCTGGGCTTTTTCAGTCTAACCTGTCTGGTTCTGTTCCTTACTACTCAACAATTCCCAGCCAGTATTTTCATTAGTATCTAACTCTGAAGTGCAGAATGGCCAAGAAAAATATTGTCAAAACAGAACACTGTGACATGCTGAAACAGTTCAAACAACAGCCACCCACACAATGCTCTACATCCTCTCCTAGGTTTTAAAAGCACGTACCAGTATTTTAAGACTGCGTTTCAGGATACTGCACCTACAAAGTTTCCTTCAAGCCCCACAGAAGGTGCTGGTTTGATTTCAGGTGCCTAAAGATAAATGGATTTTACGCAGCTTTCACATCTCCAGCACTCCTGAGAGACTAGAGGTAAATTGGCTCCAGCTGAAACTGAACAGCAGCCAAGGAGAGAGCTTCAAAGGGATGCGGCTTTAATCAGGTAAAAATATGCCTTTGCACAGTGTATTTAATGGGTGGAAAAATACTGTAACTTTTCAACAGAGGACCAAGAACCAGAGGGACAGATAATCAGCAGTTAAGAGAAATTCTTACTGGAAATATTAAACTTCTCACCTGATAAAGAGCAAACTTTGGGATGATCTTCTTACAGATAAGGAGAGTCCTAACTTGTTGAAACATGATTCCAACTGGCCACAGAGCAATAATGGTGAGGACACCGATGAAGCAGCTAATCCATATTGCAGCTCCTTTGGGAGATAACTGAGAGGCAAATCAAACAAGCGTGCCTATAAAACTTTACAGCGCATTTTACTATTTCCAGGAAGAAGTTGTGTACTGGATGATGCAGATGTTCAAATGCTTGTTTCTATCTCCATGAAAGCCGACAGCAGCAGCAGTTGCTGGGGTTTACATGGGGAAATTGCAGAGTACCAACTGGAGCGTTAGCACAGTGCTCTCGCCCAGCAGGCACGGACACGTAAATCTGTTCAGCGTGGGAAGGTAACCAGTGACACAACCCCTCAGTCTGACCCCAGCAGCACCCGGGGACACTCAGCAGCTCGTGAGAGCATATTCAGCATGACATCTCAGAGGGGTCATTTATTTTATACATGAAACAACAAAAAATTTATTACTTTTAATCTGAGTTATCCAGGAGGTGCAGAATTATTAGCAGACGCAGACTTTTCCATCATCTTGCAGCTTACATGGTACAAAGAAGTACAGTACTATCTTTTCTACTTTCCACAGATATAAAAATCACCATGATTTGCAGGAAAACAGAATTAGGCTTCCTGTTTACATGCCAGTACACACACTTGTTTCTTAAGGCTGTACCCTACAAAACACAGGGCAGGTACATCCCACAGGGCAACCTGCAGTCCTGCTATTCTAACCACACCAGCTGGGAAACACATTGGAGCATAATCTGATGCCCAGCCCACCCAGATGCCCAGTTCCTTTCCAAGAGAAGCCAGGAAATACAGAGTCTGGGGTGGCAGAAATAATACGCTTCAGGGTCTCAAAAGAATACAGTAAGGACTCCCTTGGAAGAGCTCCAAGATCTCACAGTTTAGTTGTAGGCTAAGACACCAAAATCAATCCTAAAACCTACAGATTTTGTGAACCATCTCTGATTAAAATATTTACTTACATTGTAGAGGGTGTAATTGCCATTACTCCAAAGCACTATTGACAAAAACATGAGCACGGGTCGAAGAAAAGCAAACTGAAAGGTGCCCAGCTTCAGCCAAAAGAGGGTTCGCCTGGCCAAAAAAAAAAAATAAAACCACAGAGGCCAAGATCTTATTAGCAACCTTAATAACATTTTTTGGATACTGTCAACTGCAAAACTTTTCCACTCCTGTAGCATGTGGCTAAAATCTGGGGAGGAATAGCTTCAAGATTAGAAAATCCTTCCAAGAATTACCCAGTGTTTATTTAGTAAAGTCTCTACCAAAATAGTACTTTTCCTGTTCTGCAGCAATTACATCCTAACCAAAGGTGGGCAAAACTGCCTTCAGCTTTGGGGCCCCCAGCACCAGAAGGACATGGACCTGTTGGAGTGAGTCCAGAGGAGACCACGAAGATGATCTGAGGGCTGAGGCACCTCTGCTGTGAGGACAGGCTGAGAGAGTTGGGGTTGTTCAGCCTGGAGAAGAGAAGGCTCCAGGGAGACCTTAGAGCAGCCTGCCAGTACCTAAAGGGGCCAAAAAAAAAAGCTGGGGAGGGACTTTTGACAAGGGCATGGAGTGATAGGACAAGGGGCAATGGCTTTAAACTGGAAGAGGGAAGATTTAGATTAGGTATTAGGAAAAAATTCTTCCCAGTGAGGGTGGTGAGGCAGTGGCAGAGGTTGCCCAGAGAAGCTGTGGCTGCCCCATCCCTGGCAGTGTTCAAGGCCAGGCTGGATGGGGCTGTGAGCAACCTGGTCTGGTGGGAGGTGTCCCTGCCCAGGGCAGGGAGGCTGGAATGAGACGATCTTTAAGGTCCCTTCCAACCAAACCATTCTGTGATTCTGTGATTCTATGAAAACGTGATGTCTTTCTCTGCCCTGAAGCTACCCAGACAGCCAGTGGCAGCATAACCGGTTTCTGAACAATAATGCCACTTGCTCTTGCCTTGCTGCCTTACTGTTTCAGTTCTCTGATGAAACTGGGCAATTCAGCCTTCCTGCTCAGACACTTCCTAGTCCTGTGGTAGATCAAGAAAGGGAATCATACAGACCTAGGTGAAAGGACTGGTAGTTTTCAGTGCATCATGAATACTACCATGTAAGCATCTGGTTTTGCTCCTCCATACTCTAACACAAGAAAGGAACTATCTTTCACGTGGCAAACTGCACCAGGCCAGCAGGACAGCTCAGGATTTCCTTACTTCTGTCAGCATAAACTGGGTCCAGAACATAGCCCACACACAGTAGCCTGGCCAGCCAGCATTGAAGGCCACCAGGAAAAGAGCAGGTGCACTTTCTAACAGAGGGCCTGAAAGCTGACTGACCCAAGCTCTCCTTCGGTCTTCACAGGACAAGCTGCAGCTGCCACGGCTGGCTCGTGTTTTAGTCTATTACTGTCTATTATTTCCCATACTGTCAATGTTGTCTTCACCGTAGCTCCTGGGGCCCTTGAGGCTGCCATCAGAGATGCCTCAGCAGACAACAGGCTGCCATTTAGTATGCTACAGGATACAGCCACGAACCAGGAATTATAGGAATTGCTCAATGAATATAGCTAATAACCACGGGATTATGAACAATGCAACACATGTGGAAAGGCCTGCAACTGGCCAGCCACTTAGTGTGTGTGCCTTTTCAAAGATTTAGTATTCCCAAAGGGCTTTAAAGAGTAACGTGACAAACAGTGCAGTCACTGCAATGCCACGAGTTGTTTCCCTTCTCAACACAGGTCTATCTTTCTTGACCGTCAGACCTCTTCTGCCACATCTCTCCCCATTGTAGGGCTTGTTACTTTGCCTCATCTGTCTACGGTGCCTTCTTAGCCTTCCCAGGACTGCTCGATAGTAATGCAGAGGAATAGGATAGACTGCTCGAGGAATATGGGACTGACCTTTCTCTGGTATAGCTTGCTTATATTTCAAAAAACTGTACCCTGTAATGGGAAAAGGCTAGAAGTTAGAAGCAGAGACAGCAGATGGGTTTCCCAGTGCTACAGACACCACAGAAGGAGCAGACAGCTGTCCTTCCTCCCAGTAGTAGTAGGCACTATCTAGCTCCTGAAAGGAGTTACTATTAGCTAGTATCATCCTGCATAAGCAGTCACTGGACTGACCAACAGGAGGGCATAGTAGAGGATCCTCTCCCAAGCTCCCAGCTACTATAACCTATACAGAGGGTGACTGACATGGAAAGAAAACCAAATATACTGGTGACACGTTAGATCTACAGCACAGCTCTGTCCCGTGGCATTTCTTCAGCCCTGACTGCTGAAATGAGCCTGAACCAATGCACATGAAAATTAGTAGGAGTCATTTAGATCCATATCAGTAGCTGCTGATCTTATATCATTGCATTACATCCATTTTTGGAGGGACATTTTTCGGTTGGTTTACTACCTATTCTCGGTGCTCCCTCCATGTAAATAATTAGCGTTATTCTGTTAAAATAAAATGGTGGAAACAAGAGTTTAAATTCTAATACCAAATGACGCAGTTTAAGGAAGATTTCTTCCAATAAAAAATGAGAATTTTTGCAAACACAGCATGAACCGCTATGCTGCGTTCTGTTTGCCGCTTTCATTTAACCAGACCATAAAGTCCCTAGGGTCCCTCTGGCACAGATATCCAGGCCCTCATGGAAAAGTCTCTGTCTTGCAAATTCAGTCCTTCAGCTTTTGCTTTTAATGAGAGAAACAGTCTCATACCCTGTGCCAGTAGGAAAGCCCTGGGAAATACATGAGGCTTCCAGGCTGTGGAGCGGCGTGTAAATGACAGGGTGACATGAGCCAGAGGAGGCAAGGTTTATGTCACAGTATATTGGCTCCCATAAGTGCAGCTCTCCATCCTTATCCCACTTCCCAAAGATGCTTTAATACTAAGTTTAGTAGAAGAAAATATTTGCTTTTGCCTCACCCGACAATGCCATTTCATTGAGATAAAAGCTTGCCAAGAATTAAATTTATTTTTTGTTCTAAAAATTATTTTAATCTGAAGTAGTTTTAAAGTCAAAATCAGAATGAAACATTTCAATTTTATCAAAGTAAGAGAGATTTTCTTTCAAGAGAGCCTCAATTTGACAATTCTGCTTGTGAAAAATAACCAATTCGGAGACATTTGTTCCTTTCTGGAATGAAAAGAAACAGAAATCTCAATTATTAGGTTTTCTAGAGTAGAAATTCCTCCTCCCACACACCATTGCTTACTATAGAAATGGTTTCTTGGAAGAGAACAGGATTAGCTGGGGAGATACTGCAGTGCTCAACATTACTATGAGTGGGAACACTGCACCGGGTTAAACTGAGAGAGCTCGTGCTCTCGACTCTTATGCAAAATTCTGCATTACAAAAACGGAATAAATTAGTGGTGGTGTACAGCCCCAGAGTGATGGCACTGTTTAAAAGAGACGACTTGAGACTGACTTTCGGGAAGCGGGGAGGCCCTTTGCTGTAAGCCTGGCCTTGCCAAGCTGGCGGAATTCCAGCAACCATTTTCCAGCTGGGAAATCTTAAAGGGCAACTCACCTAGTGATGCGCACACGAGGGAGGCAAAGGCAGCAGCAGCAGCAGGGACCGGTGCTGATCTTGAAGTGATCATTTTCAAACCGCCTGAGGAACAGCTTTTGACCTCCACACTCTTTAATCATCATCATCAGGAACTTGTGGATAACTATGGCAAAAAATCTAGGAGAGGAAGAAAATGCCAGCTTGAACCTGCCTGTGTGTCTTGAATGCCTGCGCAGGCCAGTGCCGCCTTCTGTCCGGGGTTTTTACAGCTTGTGCTTTGCAATCAACAAAGATTCTAGCACTAGCTGTGAAAACCTTCTGCTTTCCATCACCTTGGAGGACCAGAACTGCCCTAACCTCACCAAAAGAGGAATAAACCGCGGCACAAAGCAGCTGTGGAATTTCCCAAAGCTGCACTGGTGGCTGGTGGCAGAGTCAGTATTAAAGCACTGGCTTTTCAGGCCCAAGTCATTATGGCTGTATTTTTCCATTGGTTATCTAGTCCTGACTGGTCCAAACTTTTTAGAACAAGTCCTCTTCCTCCTCTTAAAAAAAAAAAAACGCAAACAAAAACTGACAGCAAATATGGCTAGGTTCATGTATATAGATAGCTATCACTGAACGTGCTGGCCCCGTCAGGGTGCGGTTCCTCTGCAGCCAAAGCCGATCCAAGCACTGACTGCTGCAACCCCACCTCCCCCTCCTTCACCAGCTGCACATTCCCAGGAACTACAGACTGTGCAACCGCCCTTTCTGCCCTGTCCCGAACCGATTTAGGGAACGGATTCACTGAAATCCAACTTCACCTAACAAAACACGTTCCTCTTCAGCTGCATGGCCTCCTCGAAGGAGCTTGCTGTGCAGCTGGAGACTGACAGGTAGTGGATGCAAGTGAGGGGACGGGAACCTGCAGCTTGGGCAAGGGAGGAGGGGGGATTCAAACAGGCTTGAAGTGCCATAGGACCGGGTCCTTGGGAGTTTCTGGCAATCTACACTACCTGCACAAATTGCTGCATGCCAACAGCGTTCCCTGCTACTGTGTTTTCCCTCCTTTTTTACTCTACTCTCTCAGTAAATGCAGCATGACCTGGGGTGAGGCTATTAGGAGAGTCTGTGATACTGTCCTGCAGTGGGTTCCAAAATCATCTCAAAATCACCTGTGGAGTGCCCAAGGTCACGGCATCCCCCCACCTGTCTCTGCCGACCAGGGCTGCACCATCACCTCCAGAAAGCAAGGACCACGTTTCTCCCTTCTTCTCTGTGCACGTCAGAGCTGTCATGCTCGTGCAGAAAGTGCTTTTATCAGGACAACTCTGGAAGATTTCTACATTGATAGACTCATCGGAGGTTCACTTGCCACCATTAACAATAGACCTCCACGGCTCATCATTAGTAAAAGCGCGGAGAAGTCACAGGTCAGAATCTTGTTCCACATGAGAGGCAGAGAGAGGAAAGAAAGAGTACTGCTTCAAAGCTACTGTCAACCCGAGGGATCAATTACATGCGAGTCACAGATCTTTCATACTGAGGTTCCCACACCAGGGGACTGTAGCACTGGGAACTGCTTCAGCATTTTCCACCTCCCAGAAAAGAGCTGCCAAGAGATTGCAACTCCAACCAAAAATTACTAAATTGTTAAATTTACAAAATGACTGTGTTTTACCAAGAGCGGCAGATGTTTAAAGGGAAGAAATTCAGGGTTTGGGGTAACATCTAGGAACAAGCAGGATACTCACATTGCTGCTGTGAAATCTGTAAACATCGTTGAGCGAGGAATCCACATGCCAATGCACGAAGTAGTAGCGATCACCTACAGAGAAAGGGAGGAGGGCTGTACAAAGGGCAGAGATAAAGCAGGTTCATGTGGATTTTCAGAGAAACCCTATTTTCAACATTCAATTTTATCTCTTTTCCGTGATAACTTACTGGAGCTGCGGCATTAATCCAAATTATGACTGATCTTTTGGAGGAGGGGAATTTCCTGTAGATGTAGACTGCTTCCTCTGTAAACACCAGATTGGCAATTAGCATCATCAGAGTCAAGATTCCAAAAAGAAATCTCCCTGGTAGGTCAAGGCCTGCAGATACAGAAAAGAAAACAGTTTGTTCTGATTTATTTCATAAACATTCCAAACATTTAATGTAAAGACATCATGTCTGACAGGCTTCTTATGGCTATTCCTGCAAAGACTTGCACTCATCCGTAGCTACAGAGATAGACCGTTGACTCCACAGGATGATTCAAATACCTAAACTTAAGTTCACAACTAAATCTTTCCAGGATCCACAGGCAGCATATGGGAAGAACATGCCTCCATGTTCTCAAAGCATTATTCAGAAGTCTCCTTCAGAAAGGTGGAGTTCCAGGACAAATGTGCTTAGATGAATGTAAATACGTAACGGAACATAAATACATAATAGAAATAAATGCAGTAAATACATATTCTGGGAACATTTCCAGGCAGACTCCAAGCAAAACTGCGTTTACTCAGGATTAGTTCTTTGCTTCTGTTGTACGTTCATAGGCATGTTTGCCCCCGACTTCCTTAGGCGTGCAAACTTTTTCGAGGTTCAGTGGAAGTTTGCGGGGCACACAAATAAAGTCAGGATAAGCCCCTGATATATCTAGCCTGAGACAAAACTCGATGCCTTCACCTAATTCCTCTCTACTTCTCCCTTAAAGCTGGATACGGATACCAACACTTACCCACGGCTGATGGGTTTTATGTCTCCATTGACACCGGGTACGGACACCAACCCACGGCTGTCGGTTGAGGTGCATTTTCTCCCCGGAAAGGTGCTTCCAGAGACGGCAGAAAGCACTGGAGCGGGGTCACGCTTCACGCCGCACAAGTTCCCGCTCATCCCTGGCACCAGCGCC